TGAACCTCATTGGTTCTTGCTGAAGCTCAAACGTGATGCATAACACGAGAATGAACCTCATTGGTTCTTGCTGAAGCCCAAACGTGATGCGTAACATGAGAATGAACCTCATTGGTTCTTGCTGAAGCCCAAACGTGATGCCTAACATGAGAATTAACCTCATTGGTTCTTGCTGAAGCTCAAACTTGAAGCGTAACATGAGAATGAACCTCATTGGTTCTTGCTGAAGCCCAAACGTGATGCGTAACATGAGAATGAACCTCATTGGTTCTCGCATGTCAAGAGAACATGCTTGAGCTTCCGTTTCCCACAACTGATGTGAGCTGATGAATGTTTATGTGAATAAAAGTCTAAATTCAATCTGTTCATCATATAAAGTGATCGAGTCTCTTCAGAAAATTTGGACTAAACCGCTCAATTCATGTTGATTAGTTTTACGATCTCTTTATGAACTTTTTGAAGTGTCAAAGTGTCAGTTGCTTAGACTGTCAATGGAGGGACAGAAAGCTCTCAGATTTCATCAAAATAATCTTCATTTGTGTTCCGAAGATGAATGAAAGTCTTACGGGTTTGGAACAACATGATGAGGGCGAGTAATTACTGACAAAATTCTCACTTCTGGGTGAACTAACAGATTTATGATTCTAAGCAATTTGAACAGATCCATTTTGAAAATATGATATATAATTTTTAAACCTATAGATGCAAATAAACTGCTAAACTTTTTTTAGTTTAACTGACAAATATAAATCAGAGTAAGTTTATAAGTTTGTTTAAACTGTGTAATACAAATCGATGCACTTTTTAAAGGCAATTCAAAAACATAAATCTTAATTTTAGGCCTAAACATACATTTTTTGAGTTTGGCCTAAAATTAAGCCATTTATGGTTAAAAAGCAAGTGTGCGTGCATTTGACAGTGAGTCAGAACTATCTGTTTTATAAGACAGATTTCACAATAATGCATTCCTTTAGTGCCAATAACCTACAGTCCACATTTCCAACGAACCCACATGCCCTTAATTCACATTTAAACCCAGATGTGACTAAAATAATGTTAAAACATCACCACCCACACTCAGAGTGCTTTGCATCTAGTCTGAAAGGTTAATCACAGCAGAAAGCTTCCAACATAAAAATTAGATTTGTATTCCCAAACAGAATGACTCATAATAAGCTATATGTTTTGTGTGTGTGTGTGTGTGTGTGTGTGCATGTGTGTTTCAGTGTAAACACCTGTTTTGCTCTCCGTATCCTCCGATGATTTGGAGCTTCATTTGTACAGGCTGTGGTTTAATAAATCAAATGGAAATACAATAATACACGCGCACAGAGGTTTTCTCGTCCAGAAAGGTCAGCTCTGAGATTAATTATACTGAGAGGAAGACCTTAAAGGGATAGTTCACCCAAAAATGAACATTTTGTCGTCATTTACTTACCCTCAAGTTTTTCTAAACTTGTATGAGCTTCTTTGTTCAGTTGAACACTAAAGAAGATATTTTGAAAAATGTTGGCAACCAAACAGTTGCTGGACCCCATTGACTTCCATGTACTGTACTGTACGTTCGCAATGAGGAAAAGTTTTGTTTTGCCAAAAGTCTTCAAAAGTTGTTCTAAGCTTGTAAGAAACTCATACAAGTTTAGAACAACCTGAGGATGAGTAAATAATGACAGAATTCTCATTTTTGGGTGAATTATCCCTTTAATTAATATATCTCTATATGACACTACCTTGCTTTTACGATCCTAATAATTCACTCCAAATCTGTCTTTTACAATTGGAGGCTCCTATTTTTTGTCTTTGTGCATGCAGCGACTGCAACCCCAGTGTGCGTGTTCACAGATGAAGGAATAAATATAATGAGGACGTGGGGGTGTCGTTTAAGAGCCACATTCAGCCTTGGGAAATGGCCGCTTGTCACAAGAGTCTCTGGGACAGTGACAGCATCATTAACACTGATATTTCAGCCTTTAGAATGAACAGACAGACAGGTCCCGTCTTGTCTGGTGGTTCTTTGTCAACATTTACATCTGCATTTATTCATTTAGCACATGCTTTTATCCACAGCGACGTACAAATGAGGAAAAGCAAGCAATTTATATCATAAGCCAAAAATATTAGCAATGGAGCCATATAGTGCATTCCAAGAGTAAATCAGGAAAACTTCTAAACGAAACAGCAGAAGAGAGGAAATGACATTTTAATGGAAAAAGTGCACTTATTTATGGTTATGAATTAGTTGAATGCTGAGAAAGGATCAATGAAACATTAAAGCCTTTCAAATTTTAAATGCTCAAAAACTTTAATGCTTTTCTTTTGCGGTTGTTAGCTTTTGTGAGTTTTGAAAAAGTGTATTTAAATGTTAAATCTGTCACATTAACAAAAAGTATAACCATGTTTTTTGGTAAACTGTATATCAAAGTACCATAGTATTTCCATGTTTTTTTGACATGGTACCATGGTAAACTCAATATTACCTTAGTCTGACATCTTCACTGTACCGTGGTATTATTTTAGTATAATTTTTATACTATTATTTTCATTTTAGTTCAAAGTTTTAGTAATTTGGTTGCGTGTTTCGTCATCAACAGTTTTTGTTTTTTATGTATGTTTTTGATGAATTTTAATTTCAGTTTCAGTTATTTTAGTACAATGAAAATGTGAAATGTTTTCTTGGCTACTAGCTGAAATAAAATAGATTTAATTTTTTATACTTGATTTTATTTCGGATTACGTTTATGTTGGTAGAATAAAATTGTAATCAAATTATTTCAAATATATTTCAAGTTTAAGTTATGATTTTTTTTTTTATAAAGGCATGCTTATGATTTTCATGGGTAAGAGAAAACAAATGTCTATTACCGTACACAAAAGGTTTTATGTCAGAGATGTGGAAGGAAATCCAAAAATCTATTAATTCTAGGTTAAAATTGGCTTCAAGCATGCAGTGAAATCTATACTTATAATCTTTCAAATCAGACATTGACATGGTTTACTTGTCTACAATTTGGTTTATATCCTCTCTCAGCATATTAAACAATATTCAGACATCACAGAAATCAATTACATTTTATATGGATGTTATATGGTTTAAATGTGTTAAATGGCATGTGAGGAAGCAGCATTGTTGAAAATAATCATTTCGTTATTCACATGTAGAACCAAACATCTTTAAAGAAAAAGTTTTACTGAGCTGCTAAGGAGTACAAACCAATTGGGAAAAGAAACTCATGGCCTATTATTGCAATCAGTGTTTTGTATTCTGATAATACACACCTGAGTCCAGACATGGTTGAAACGTCATGGAAATGAGAAAAGTGGCCACATTATTTATATGTTCTTCTATAAATGAGATATTTTCTCTGGGGAGACACTAATTCAGATTCCAGCAAGTAGTGAGGTAATTGTGTTTCAGGTTTAGCTCTGTTTTCTATCTGTGAATCACATGAGACAGTAAATGATTGGTCAACCTTCAGTGTAGTTCAGTGGAAACCCTTCCGTCTGAGATCTTCATCCGCGGCTCCTTTAGATTAACCTGGTTTAAGAAACACTATTGTGCTTGATACTGCAAAGTATACAAAAAAAATAAACATAGTTGAGTCTTTCACAGAATAAAATACATTAATTTTAGGTGGTGAAACTGTAGGTTAAACAGCACAGGAGGAATGTCGATGGAAAAGCTCTCTGGTGCCATCTAGCTAAAAACAAAAAAGCTTCCGAAGTTTCTGGTCTCCATTTTGTGTCTTCATAAGACCACACTAATAACAGAAAACCTACTCAAACAGCTGATGATATGTGGTGTCTTTATGAGTTCATGAGAGCAATATAGACTTATAGATGTTATGAAGAAATCAAAATAATGTCAAAATGGTTAATATACTGCCGGAGCAGACCATAGCATGTTTACTGTGCTCAGTATGTAGACTATCATTCTAAAGCTTGCGGTCAGTTTTAAGATTTCAAATTATTTATTTATTTTTCAGCAAGGATGCATTAAATTGATCAAAAGTGTCAGTAAGGACATTTATAATGTTACAAAAGATTTCTGTTTCAAATAAAATAATAAGGTTTCCACAAAAATATTACGTTTTCAACACTGATTAGAAATGTTTCTTGAGCAGCAAATCAGAATGATTTCTGAAAGATCATGTGACACTGAAGACTGGAGTAATGATGCTGAAAATACAGCTTTGCATCACAGTAATACATTACATTTGATAACGTTTTCAAATTGAAAAGTTATTTTAAATTGTAATAATATTTGGCAATATTGTATCGCATACTCTCTTGCGTAGGTACTTATTTTGAATGAGTAATTCACAACTGCTAAAAAAAAAGTATGTTCTGTATGGTATTAGTGTGCTTAGTATGAATATAATCTGGACGTACATTTGTCATGTCGTCATTTTCATGACCAACAAGCGTCAATTGACTGCCATTCATAAATCCTCTCCCGTGGCCTCAAGGGATAGGAAAGTGTCCATCATATATGCACACTTCAGAATCTCACTGGAAGCAGTAGCTCATCCGGAGATTGTTTGCCTACTCTTTTATGAGTACTGTGAATTGTGACATACTTTTTTTCACCTACTACATAGTAGGGAAGTATGGGATTTCAGATGCAGCCAACATTTCATAAAATGTGTACTGGGAATTGGATCAAATAATGCAATGCGCTCAACCTGAAGTTAACTCATCTCAAGTATGACCATTTCCAATACCCAGGGTTTGTTCGATTTGAAGTGGTGCTGCACAGAGAGTACAGCGAGAGCAATTAGAGAGCAGATAGTTATATTAAACACCTATAAAGTTAGCATGCAGGCATGGGCCAAATGGAGAAGTCATGTGACAAATGTAGCACACTGCAAAGTGTGCAATAAGCTAATCTCTTGGTTCTAATAGTCAATAAGGAGTCAAGCATCAAACAATTAAACCCTAAAAAAATAAAACTACATTTGGGAGCTCAATTATATTGCCAATCAATAAAGCACCAAAATTGTAAAATACAGGCTTTATTCAACCATTTAAATATGTACATTTTCTGTGACAAGACAAGAATGGCTCATTTCATCAAAACATTCATAATTTTTTATAAAATCTTATAAAACAACATTTACAATACCAAAGAGGCTGTTTAACCTCCTTGAATCTTTTTTTGGCAATGGATGATTGTAGGTATTCCACTTTGTGCACAATTCACTTCACATTTTAGGAAGATAAAACATTTTTAAAAGTCTTTCAAAACACTTAAGAACCCAAAGGCTTTTTTAAAAATAAAGTTCTTGTAACATTTCCCTTGCGGTGCTCAGAGGCGACGGACGTTTCTTTTGCTTCGAGCGGAGCCGGCGACGAGGGTCTTCTGGGAAGGGGTGAAGGCTCGGACTGATTTTCGGCACGGGTCAGAGTTGTGGAACGCCGACTGGCACAGTGTGCAGAACTCAAAAGCGCAGCTGATGCGTGTGCACACGGCCTGCTGCATGTCGGAGTCGAAGCGTGCCGGAGAGCCGCAGAGAACACACGATCGCAGAGACTCGTGCTGCTTGAGGGATCTGGCAGCCTAGAAGAAAAAGAAAACCAGTTACATCAGCTGCCAAACACACAACTAAACTCATGCATGCATCAGGAGAGACAATGACCCTTTTCTCATTTCCCAGGTTCGCAGAAGTCATTATAGTTGGGTAAACTTCTATAGTGGTGAAAGGAAACTAAAACATAATTTGTTCCCATTTGCCCCTATAGGAAAAGAAAAAAAACCCATGTTCTATGACTCTTAATAGGGGAGTTACGCGAGACGGAATGGAAAAACTTCTGTATTTTGGCCATTCATTTACACAACAGCTCTTTAGGGGCCTGAAAACACTAACATTTGAAAACGGGTTTCAAGGTTCAAGTTTTTGAAAATACCATTATAGTCTGTATGCAAAAAAAAGACAATGTGAAAACTGTGACATCAGATGCAAGTGTATTACTAGACTTCAGGTCAGATTTACTAAACAGTACAAATTAGCGAGAGCACAAATCCAAATAAGTGCCAATGGGAGAGCAAGTTCAGCTCGTGATCTAATGACAACAGAAAATAAAAGACACAGCCAGATTATTTCCATTATGACCAACACAATCTACCAGTTAGTGTTTGGTTTAAGATGTGGGTTTTTTTTGGGGTGGTAAATAATGGTGCAAACATTAGTAAACCACCTTGCGTGATTTAGATAATCTCCCCCCGTAACTTTTGCGTCTGAAAGGGAAACTCCTGTCCATGCAAAAACAACCCTGTCCATGCCTTTTCAGCGCTAATTTTTCAATGCATGTCTTTAGAAAATACTGAGTTTAACACCAAATGAGGGTTTGCGCTGGTGCAAGCGGTTAGTAAATCTGGCCCTTAGGTCAGAAGAGAGAGAAAGACAAATCCATCACTCCCTCAGCTAATCACAAAACAGTATTGATACGTTTTCTGTAATTTCATGCCAAAGTAAACAAAGTGTATTATAAATGTACACTTTTTAAAGTAAAAAAAATATATATATATATATAAAAAGAGGAGATGAAAGCTAGATTTAAGATGTTTACTGTGAAAACACATACAGTCTGTGAAAAGGATCCATAATTTAGTGTTACTGGGGGATTTTTTTCTTTTTACCTCTTGAAACTGTTGGAAGCGACTTGATTTGGATGAGTTTTGCGCTCCACCCGTCTGGCACTGCGACTTCTTAACAGCCTTGTGAACGGGCGTCGAGGCGACGGTCTGCATGCAAGAGAACACCACCCTGCTCAAGGTGAAGTCTCGTGATAATGATCCCGCGGGGCGGCCGGAGTCCTGAAATCAAAAAATAAACAATTAGAACTGAAAGATAGTGAAAAAACAATTATGAAGGCTCCAATCATGTTGTTCGAACCACAAATATTCACTTTTTGAAGTGAAACTGCCATTTGTCAAAACAACTTCCAAACTTAAAATTTGGTTTGAGTATTGAGGCTTTTTTGTGTGTGAATTGAAACTAAACTCTTGTTGTGACTCTTTAATAAAAGAAAACCCTAATATACAAGTCAAAGCATTATTGTGGAAAGAAAAAAAGCTTTCATTTTTTTGCAACTGGTGGTTTCTTTTGAGCTAGCTTGAGGTAGTTATTTGACTAACTTAATTCTGTTCGGCGCATGAATTAACCATTTAATTTAGCTTAAACTAAACCATTACAATGTGAACTTTGCATTATATAAAAGTTAATACAGCACATGGGTGAATCAGTGCAGTTGTCATCTGAATGTCTCTTACCCTTTGCGTTCTTTCTGCTTTTTTGCAGCGCTGAAGGGCCACATGATCCTGGGAAATGATTTTCCGCCATGTCCGGCTCACTTTTCTACAGCTGCAAGAGATCAAACAGACAGTCAGTCAATCTGATCCACATCAGTGTCAGATCAAGTCACAGGAAAAATTACCAAACAGGACGTTACCTTACTAAGTCGCAATCTCCCAGCAGGCCCAAGACCCTTGCGAGAATGTGCCTCATGTCTTTCTTCAACAGGTCACAAAGGATGTCCACAAACTGCAGTCCCATCTTCCCACCGATCACATTATGCAGCCCGAAATTCACAGCAACCTTATTGACGACGGTCCAGTCGTAACTTCTGCTCTTTTTATAGCTTTTGGACAGTTCTCTGCACACCTCCTCCTGGAAATTCAGCACGGGTAGACAGGGCGCAGAATGACACTCAGCGTCCAAGGATTGAGAGGACACATTTTCCACTTTACTCCTCTCCAATGAATCCATGTTACCCACGTCCCCATGATCCAACCGGCTGTTTTGGAGGGAAAGGTAGCCACTGTCCTCAGTTAGGCCACAACTGCTGAGAATCACCTCGTCGTCGGACGCGACCTCCAGAGAATGACGCTTATTCTGGAAGTTTTCTTTATTGTGGGGGCCTTTGCTTCTGGCCTCCATTGGGGTGGAGATGGCCGTGACCGGTGAGCTTGGGGCGGCCGTTTTCCGTGGAGAAACGGTGTGGCGCTTAATCTCACCGAGGTCCGATTTAGCTTTCTCCATGTGGCATAAAACCGTACAATCATCACTGTAGCTTGGACACTTCATAATGAGGCTGATTCAGACCGCAAACTAGAGGAAATGAGAAATAAGACATGTTAAAGTATGTTGGACAAATTATTATATGTCATTACTAACCCAATAATGTGAACATTTTATAAATCCACATTAGCCAAACTACTAGTTTGATATTTACAAAAAGTAACAAGTATACACAGGAACATTTATTTTTCCCCCCTCTTATCTTCCAATACTAAGTTCTAAACACTCGTGGCTGCTCTAACACTCTTAAATCAAGATACAGTACATTTATTTGAGATGCTAAACGACCTATTAAGGTATGAAGCCTTTTTCCCTCCTTTTTGCTAAAAACAAGAAAAAATATCTGCCAATGGAGTACAAAAAATATATATTTTTCTATTTAAATTAAGTTCTCATTTCTCACCCCATTAGCAGATTTTACTTGTTTTCGGTAAAAACTAACTTTTTTTTTTTTTATCCCAGAAAACATGACTTAGTATCACATTGACATTTACTTAAGAAGCTTAGATACACAAATACCTAATATAGAAGTAATTTTTTTTATAATGTAGGCCTATAACGTTATTGGAACTGCATTAACTAATTGCAGATTATCTTGATGTGTTATGTGTCCAATACGTTTATATAAAGAATTACATAAAGTGATATAGAAACACAAAAACACAAGGTCCCTCCTTTTTTAGGCTCAAATGTAACGTTAAGCACATTAGCCTGCTCACGTTTTAAGCATTACAGCGTTAATATTAAAACACAGTTGATAATGCATGTTAAAATACATCATTTCGATTGCCTGATATTTAATGCGTTCAGATATTATACAGGGGATGCGTTTATTTGTACTTTTAATTTTGCGCGCCTAAGTGCATTCATTCCTGACGTGGCTCATCATGATGCACACTACTGAGGCCACATACTAGCTTTAAGACAACTTACAATCTATGTTCTTACGCGAAAAGGCTCACACGGTTTCTTTGAATGCATTCTATCATACAAATAGATACATTTTATTTTACAAAAATACAATACTAAAAGCAAATCTGAAACCATCACATTGACGGAACGCAAAAATGGCCGGACAACTAGCAACTATTTGTTCAAAATCCTATTTAAAGGCTTATATTTTCACGAAACTACAAAAATATCATATTAAAGTAGTCGTCTCTTACCTCTAAAAGATAAAATCACGTTTGTATAGTCCTCATATGTCGTTACAAACACGTCCTGTTCGCTTTTGCAGTGGTAGTAAGCATTTAAGCGGCAACACAATGGTTAGTGAGCTTCAGGAAAAAGCGCCACTTGCAAATGCATTTGAAATTTGGCGAAAAAACCTTGCGGCCAACCAGAGCACAGTGGAATACCTTTAAATGACCCGCAGCCAATGAACGCGCTCGGCGGAAGACTGAAGTGATGTCATGACGCAGATAGATCCGAAACGTCAACATGCTTAAAGAGCGCCACCCAATCAAAGGCGCGCCTGGGGGAAAAAGCGCCTTTTTTAAATAAATCAATAAAGTGAACTTTTAAAATATTTTTTTATTGGTTTAACCGAGAGTATACAGTATCGGGCAAAAGTTTGGAAACATTAAGGTTTTTTAATGTTTTTAAAAGTAGTCTCTTAATCTCACCAAAGCTGCATTTATTTTATTTAAAATACAGGAAAAACAGTAATATTGTGAAATATTATTACAATTTAAATGAACTGAATGAATTTTCTGTGATCAAGGCTGAATTTTCAGCATCAGTAGTCCAGCCTTCAATGTCACATGAATGATCCTTCAGAAATAATTATAATATGCTGATTTGCTGCTCAAGAAACATTTATTATTATTATTATTCATGTTAAACAGTTGTGCTGCTTAGTATTTTTGTGGAAACTGTTTTTTTTTTTTTTTTTTTTTATTCTTTGATGAATAGAAAGTTCAGAAGAACAGCATTTATTAAAAATAGACTTTTTGTAATATTTATTAATTTCACAAATGTCTTTACAGTCTTTTTTTATCATTTTAATGTGCCTTGGCTAAATAAAAGTACTAATTTCTTTTTCTCTCACCCCAAACTTTTAAATGCCAGTGTATTTAGGTTATCTTAATTATAATTTCTGAAAGATCATGTGACACTGAAGACTGGAGTAATGAAGCTGAAAATTCAGCTTTGCATCACAGGAATAATTTAAATTTTAAACTATATTACAACAGCTTTTATATACAAGCTGTGGTTTAAAATCCTGGTATTAAAAAATTAATACAAATAATTTATGTGGAAATGTATGTTATAGCCAGCTCTACAAAATATGTTATGAGCTAGAAATGGCTCTTTGTGAGTTAAATCTCTAAATATAGATACAATTATTTTAAAAAATCTCAAACAACTGTAAAAGTCAAACTGGCTGTAATTAGTCACCACACCAAAGCATTTCACAGCGCTGTGTGAACTTCAAGAGAAAGCACAGAGTGTGTGTGAAGCTCCTGAGAGAGATGGTGAGATAAACTGCGCTCTTTTCTTAGACTAGACGGCTGTGCTCACAATTCAGTCTCACACCCACGAAGCCAAACTTTTACACATTTCTTTATTGCCACAAATAACTACTGATTCTGATCATTGTCCTCGAGAACGTCCATGAGGGATTCCTGTTCAGAAAACTGTTGCAAAAACACAATCATCTCGTCTAGCAGTTCCTCTCCTTGTAAGAATCCACGCACGTCATGAATGGTTTTTCCAATCCTGTGATCAGTGATCCGGTCCTGTGAGAAGTTATACGTCCTGATTTTCTCTGATCTGCCTTTGGTGCCAATCTGTAATAAGAGAAGTAAAATGTCGTTTATATATAATTAACATAAATCAACTAAACCAATTATATCTGATATTAGATAGTCACTTATACATCAACATTGACAATTCAACAGTAGCCTTATTCTGTTAGTTCACCCAAAAATGAAAATGATGTCATTAATGACTCTTCCTCATGTCGTTCCAAGCCCGTAAGACCTCCGTTCATCTTCAGAACACAGTTTAAGATATTTTAGATTTAGTCCGAGAGCTTTCTGTCCCTCCATTGAAAATGTGTGTACGGTATACTGTCCTTGTCCAGAAAGGAAATAAAGACATCATCAAAGTAGTCCATGTGACATCAGTGGGTTAGTTAGAACGTGTTGAAGCATCTAAAATACATTTATGTAAAATACATAAAATACATTGAAGCGTCTTACATACAAAAGACTGGTGGTCTGCACCAGACACACGCTGCTGACGTGTGTCTGGTGCGCCCGTGTATTCGGGTTCAAATAAATATGGCAGGGCAAAAAAATGCAAGTCTTCCTCTGTGTGGAAATCCTTAGACATGTTTGCGAAGATTGTTTAGTTTCCAGCGTGCGTCTCCCTCAGACTGTAGACGAAGCTCGGGCGCACCAAACACACGTCAGCGGCGGCACTGAACGCGGATCCACAACAGAACCAGAATACACACACACACACTTACACACCAGACACACGTCAGCAGCGTCTTACGTCAGCGGAGGCACTGAACGCGGATCCACAACAGAACCGGAACACAATACAATGCTGAATAAAGTCGTAGTTTTTGTTATTTTTGGACCAAAATGTATTTTCGATGCTTCAAAACATTCTAACTAACCCACTGATGTCACATGGACTACTTTGATGATGTCTTTATCTCCTTTCTGGACAAGGACAGTATAGCGTACATACATTTACAATGGAGGGACAGAAAGCTCTCGGACTAAATCTAAAATATCTTAAACTGTGTTCTGAAGATGAACGGAGGTCTTACGGGCTTGGAACGACATGAGGGAGAGTCATTAATGACATCATTTTCATTTTTGGGTGAACTAACCCTTTAATAAAGTTGTAGGGAGGGAATTGATTGGATCATGAAATGTGTGTTGCATGCCAGAATACCAAATTGATGTGGCTAAAACAGCTCTTGGTTTACATTGTCCAATAGCCTGCGTGATCAATGTGTTATTTCAGAGGAAGATTATATTTCGCTTAAAGATTTTTTTTTTCTTCTTTTGAATAACATGCACTGATGAATGATTGTCATGTTTTCATGTTTCAAGATTTGGATGTACCTGGAGTTTGCGAGCCTGGTATCTCTTGCTGGTCTCGTCCTCCAGCCGGGCGCTGTAGAGTTTGGCTCGCAGGAGTGTCATCGCCGTCTCTTTGTTCTTGATCTGGGACCGCTCCTGCTGGCACTCAGACACTGTGCCTGAAAATAGGACAAATTATGAACAAATCATATATATTGGGAAAATATTACAATCTAAAAGAACTGTTAAAATGCTATTTATTCCTGTGATGCAAAGCTGAATTTTCAGCATCATTACTCTGTCTTCAGTGTCACATGATGCTTAGTATTTCTGTGGAAACCTATCATTGATACTTATGATATTTATTATGGTTTTTATGACATTTATTATTATCATGTGACACTGAAGACTGGAGTAATGATGCTGAAAATTTAGCTTTGCGTCACAGGAATAAATTACAATTTAATATACATTTAAATAGAAAATTGTAAACAATATTTCACAATATTACTGTTACTAGACACACAACAGTATATATATAGGGCATAGGTTTGATTTTAACATTGGTGGGGACACAAAAGCACTTTTGATCGTAATTTCATGTCATCTAAAGCCTTAATTTATAGATAAGGTAGCCAACCCACTCATAACTCATCATTTTGATTATGTAAACCAACAACATTACAATTTAGCTTTCTGTACTTAATGATAGAATATTTAAACAAGCATACATTAATAACAGCAAAAAAAAAAACGTTATTCAGGGATTGACATTAAGATTTTTAGTCAGTATTGACTTCAATTATGTATGTAATGTTATAAGTTAAAGGTAATGATGACAACGAGACTTTAACTTGACTCTGTCCATAATGCAATCGTCAACATCTTTCATGCATGAACATAATCAGTAAATATTCCATAATGTATATAGAGCACTTACTGCAAATTATAGTGTTTTTTGTTTCTTGATGACACTGTGCATCACTTTATTTTAATATCAAAAATGAACTAAACCATTGATTCTGAAAGAAAATGCAACTGAGAGTGTACTGTTGCTGTAGAAACACACAACTTCTACATGCATCTCATTAACTGCACGCTCTTATTTCAGTGTTGTTTTTAATTTTGTGGAAATTTGAGCTTTGTACATTCAGTTTAACAACATTAGGTTAAAGCGGGTAAACTTTACCATTCAACTGAACTGTGGACATAGACTTTGTTTCAAACACTTAGCTTACTCCATCTATGCACTAAATACACGTCCCTAAAATAAAACAGTTTTCAAGCGTATTTACTTTGACTTCTCAGATGTGGCCAAAATTACAACAACAGTGGTTACATTTAAAAAAAAAAGTGTTATTGTTTGATAAAAATTATTGTTAGGGACAATTCAGCAGTGGCTGGATATCGGCCCAACTAAATTGTACACCCTCATCTCCATCGTGCTGACCTGTGGGTAGATGGACGATCCTCACAGCGCTGTCGGTGGTGTTGACATGCTGTCCTCCTGCTCCACTGGCTCTCTTCGTCTCGATCCTCAGATCTTTGGGGTTGATGGTAAATGAGATCTGTGAGGGTAAAGAGAAAGTCAACAATGCAAAAAGATGAATCACCACTTATACCTGAGTACTGCTCAAAGAACAAGGCTTTCTCATGAAACACCTAATTTACACATGCATTTATCTAAATAGCCATTAGAGCTGAAGTTTTGTGTGTACCTCAGTGGGTTGAGGAAGTATGGCCACGGTCATCGTGCTGGTGTGTATGCGACCTTTACTTTCTGTTTTCGGGACCCTCTGGACACGATGGACACCAGCTTCAAACTTTAACTTTTTATAGCTGAGTGGACCACTGATACTGGCTGCTGCATGTCTGATGCCCCCTAAACAAGCCAAATACACCACTGGAAATGAGCGTTCAGGGCACATGATGACAAAAACACAATCACTGACACAAATTATTTAGAGTCTATTATTTAGTCTTTGCATATGACAGGATAGAAGTAGACAAACGTGTCAACCTAGTTCACTTGACATGACCTCCAGGATCCCAAAGTCCCAGCCATGGAAAGCAGCGAAAGAATGATACATATCGAAGATCTCTGCGGTAAAGAGCATAGCTTCTTGACCTCCGACCCCCATAGTGACCTCTAGGACCAGGTCACTCATGTCTGAGTCCTCTTCTGGGATCAGCAGAGATAAAATCTGGAACACAGAACATTAAGTATTGAGTGTCTGTTTACATTGTGTTTAAACTTATTGTTTATAAAGCATTTTTACTTGGTTTGACAAATTTTGTTACTACTTTTTTGAACTGCCTTAAAGTAATAATTCAATAAGAGTAACAAATAAATATATAATCATTATCAAGTCATGCTATTAATGTTATTTATATCTTATATTCACTGGTTATATTATAACAGTGAATGTATCCAGTAAATTAATTAATTTGAAACCAATACATATACATATATATATATATATATATATATATATATATATATATATATATATATATATATAAATTGTATATATTTATACATTAATTGGATACATAAACTCTATTGTTTAAAAATGCATAACTTATTAACTTGTACATTTACTTATACATTTATAATGATTATTATTTATATTATATATATATATATATATAAACTGTCTATATATATACATACAGTATATAATATTTTCAATTAAATATTGAATTAGTTCTATATATTCATTTCTAGTTCATGTACATTTACTGATAATTTATAATAATATTGTAATAATCACAAAATAAAGCAGGGCTAATCTTTTTATACTATATATACATTTTTTTCTTTTATTAAAACTTGGATATGTGAGACCCATAAGGTCTGTAAGTGTTTACATGTCATCCATCTCATTCCTTAAGGATCTGTGACTGTGCAAAGACTGTATGACAATCAATAAGGGTAATTTATTTAATAAAGGTGACTGGCATGTTAATGAGAGGATTTCACACCTCACCTTTTGTTTGAGATCTTGAATGGCTGCCAGACAGGTTTCCTTCTCAGACTCTGCAAGCTCATGTAATTCTGGGTCATTGTCTGAAATGAGATGCAGATGCAAATGAAATGGCACCATAGAAAGCTTTTCAATTTAAGTACATCTTTCACAGTTCATTACCTTTCAGCAAGTCCTGTGTTTCCTCCAACTCCTTCTGTTTTTCCTCCAATTCTTTGATTTTTTGTACCAAAGGCCCTAGTGCAGAGAGATTAGTCCTTTTAATTTTTACATCCTCATCATCCAGTGGTTGGTTTTCAGTACTGATGGAGTCCAACCATGTGTTATACTCCATTTCCTTCTTCTTCAGATAGTCATGTAAAGACTTCTTGCTGAAGATCTCATCCACAGACAGTATCTTAGTGACCAGCACAGACTGGGATGTATGAAAGGCTCTTTGAGAGTGTGGTATTGTGCTGTTAACAGTCCTGTGAATGGCTGGACATCTGCATACTGCTCTTCTAATGACTCCTGCACTCCTGAACAGTGTCACATTCAGCAGCTGAAGACTTTTACTAAAGCAAACGACTGCCATCTCCACTCAAGTGCCGCATTTAAAGGAGGATAAAAAGCATTTACTATTCAAATAGTTTTCCAAACACAACTGTATTGCAGCCTTCAGTTGACATCTATGAACCACAACATTCACATGTACTACACGGAGCTTCTTTTTCCGGGTGATTTGTCTTTTTTTAAAATAAAAGTCCGTAACATTACGAACACACTGGAAATATGGATTCAAGGCGTTCTGACATTTATGTACTGTATATATATACTTTACATTGTCTAATATTTAGTAACATTATGTAAAAATAAATGTACACACATTCTAAATTAAAATGAAAGTTCATTACAAAACGTTTTATTTATTTATTTTAATAGTTGTAATTACTATTATATATAAGAAACATGTCTATGTAGTTTTAATAAAATATAGTTTTTTTTATTAATTAACATTAATGTTGTTTATAAAGGCTTTTTATTTAGGCAGCATTGCCAGCGTTGTTTATTTTAGGTAAACATTACATTACATTTAATTTATATTATTTTTACATTAACGCATTTTTTATAAGCAATATATTAATATAATATTTTAAAATCAAGACGATCTACGATTTATAAAATAAGATTAAAAAAAAGATGATTATTATTAATAATTTATTAGATAATGTAGAAATACTACAATAAATTCCAAATCGTGTAAAAACAATACCACATTAAACCAGGAGATGGTAGTATTGCCAAAGGTTATAATATTATTATAATATGTATTTATATATTTATTAGAGTGTGTTCTTTATTAAATAAAGTTTATTTAACACACACACACACACACACACACACACACATGTTGTTGAAACTCAAGGCTGTTAAAATGAAAGTGAGCCAATAAGTGGTCTTCTGCTGCCCTCTGCTGGCCACTCTACTTATTAATAAAGTCTTTTTGCATTCATATCTACACACACACACACACACACACACACACACACACACACACACACACACACACACACACACACACACACACACACACACACACACACACACACACACACACACACACACACACACACACACACACACACACACACACTACTTTATTTATAATGAAGAACACACTATAATAAATTCCAGTACAAAATCAAGACAAAATTTAGAGCAACCAACGTTTAACCAATAACCAATAGATGGCAGTATTAGCAAAGTTATTTGTACATAACATTTATAAATGTAGATAATCAAGTTTTATTTCATTTTAAATTTGCATAATTGTGTTGTGTTGTTTTGTTTCTGTTTAGTTTATTCTATGTTACTATGTTACATACATGTATAATGTATAATATATATATAGTCGACAATATATAATGACTCACTGATTTATTTTTTTATTAGACCAAAATATTTACTCAAGTGATTCATTCTTTCACAAATTAAGTTTGAACTTATACACACATTTGCCATTTATTGCAGAGACTTTCACAGATATCATTTATAGATACAGATACCTAACCCTTCCAAACATTTTTACAACATTTTGCAACTCATTAAACAGGTCTAAATTGATTCTTTACCCGAATAAATTCTATAAAAACAGTCCAACACAAATTCCAGAGCTGTTTAGAAATGTCAAGTTAGTATACATGTGGCTGCAAATGTTGTCTCTAAAATTAATATTTTGTTATCTAATCTTTGCATTCTTCAAAAGGGTTATGTGAACATGGACTAATAAAACAGATCGTGTTATTCTCACTGGAGGCCGAGATTTGACATTACGTGGCCCAGAGAAAGAGAAAAGGGTTATAAAAGTTTAATCCTCTGCAATGTCATGCTGATTATAGAAGAACTACATGGATTTGATCTCCGTAAATGGGTCATTCATCAAACTTCACAGATCAAAAATTGGGTGTGCAGGAGGACAATGAATACGTCATTTCTAACCATCACATCCAAATCAATACTTCATCTTGGTGGTGCATTATAAAAAATATATTCAATTCCAGAGCTTAATGTTATTGTAGTCATTACTCATTAGTTTAAGAGAATCTGTCTGCAAATTACAAATATCCTTGTATGCCCCTGAATAGGAGAAGTGAACAAAAACACTCGGTGAGCAGCTGGAAACCCCTGCCAAGTTTGTCTTCATAAGAAGATTACTATCGGACAATAACAATATCCATTCATTCTACACAAGCACTCCAGTGGCTATTGTCTTCGACATTGTTCTCTGATTAGTTCAGATTCATAATTCCTTTGTGTATGCACATAATGCACATAAAACACACCCTCAAACATCGGACAACCTCTGAGACCCCAACGTGCAATTAAGATTTACAAGTAACGAGAAACACATTTTAATTGTGTTTGAAAAAAGTTTCACAAAAACGCTCTAATTTCTAGCCTATAATATTTATGTTATAGAGCATCCAAGAATAACATGCATAATATTTATAAATATTAATATAACCGAGCTAACAATGAGTAAGAATGTTTGTTCCTAAGAACAAGAATAAGAACCCTTATTTCTGATTTTTCCCTGAATGTTCAAAATGTCTTGCTTTTTAAAGTTTGATTTTTGTTTTGGCCATTAAAGGGATATTTCACCCAGAAATTAAAATTCTGTCATCTTTTACTCTCCCTCATGTTGTTCCAAACCTGTATGAGTTTCTTTCTTCTGTTGAACACAAAAGAAGATATTTGGAAGTGTGACGTGTATGTCCTGGGGACGTATTATGTAAAAAGTGTATTTGATATGTATTTTACTTTGTTAAATGTTGTTTTTTAATCGGGTTGACCTCACTCAGCTTGCCTTGCAGTTAGTTACACACCCGATGGGCGTAAGAACATCTGGTTCTTCCCTGCACCAGACTTGTGTGTTGCTGTAACTGAGTGTGAACTGGTGCATTGTCCTGGTGTATTGCAGTTCATCTTTTGTGCTTGGGTGTCAAAACAACATTAGTTTTGCTATCAGGTAGTGATTTTTCTTTTATCTCTTTTCTTTCTAACTTTGTTTCGGTATTAAAAGGTATTAAATCTATCAACTTTTTTTTTTTTTTGTTATGGAAAGCAGTAGGGAGATTGAGTCACCCTTTTTCTTTTTGTAAAATATGAATCTTAATGCCTGTTTTGGTTTATCAGGGAGTGTAGGGAAGCATATGTTTTTTATTTATTTTCTCTTACCTGTGTAGGTCATTTAGTTCTCCTTCCAGTATAAGTTTCCTCTTCTGTTTGTTGTTTTGGTCTGACCTTCTCCTGAAGATTGAATAGTTCCATTTTCTTTGTTTAAAATACAATGAATCATTATACTTTTGCATCGTGTTGGCTCATATTTCTGGGGCAGAGGACTGAAGGGAACCCTCCACGTTTACGTTTTGATTTAATTTGATCCTGTAACCCTCCCCCAACCCTGACTGGGAGAACTTGTAACAGAAGAAATATAACAAGATGGTAGCCATTGATCCCATCGTATTTTCTTTCCTATATGGAAGTCAATAGGGTCAACAGAATTAAGAAACTCATACAGGAGAGTGAGTAAATGATGACAGAATGTTCATTTCTGGGTGAACTGTCCCTTTAAGGGAATATTCTATTCTATAATTTTTGGAATGTTACATTTGGAACATTGTTACTTAAGTAGTAGTTAACATTAAAAAAAAAAAAAAAAGAAAAGAAACAGAGGGACGTCCAAATAAAACGTTTCAGGAAAACGTTATATGAACAAAGTATAAATAATGTTTTTCTGCTAACGTTTTAAAAAACACAGATAACTTTGAACCAACATTATTCCTACTGAATGAACGTATAACTTTGAGAGAACCTTGTCAGAAAGTTCTGAGAACGTTCCATGTGAGCCTGAAAGGCTTTTTTTTTTTTTTTTTTGCATAGCAAAGCCAGTTTAATGAGCTAAGATTGAAAGACTTTAGGAATATGTGTATAAATAATAAATCACAATCACAGCACACTTGTTAATTTATATAAATTGAATTAAAAAACATACATCCATGTTATTTTTCATCTACTCTTACAGATTGTTACATCCTCATGCACTGTTGCGTTGTAATTTGTTATTTGTCTAAAATGTATCAATTGTAATGACGTGTTTCTGAAGATTTTTAATCCAAACGGATAATGATGTAAAGCATGCAGCGCTTAGGCTGAAATCCATTGAGAGAGAGCCATTGATTCAGAGAGGAATTTGGAGCAACTTCACACTGCGTATATCGACGCAGTCATCACATTCAGAGCTGTGACAGCAGTCCGACTCTCACAAAGAACACATTGTGCAAACTCTGCGCAATGACATGCAGGACGTTTCGGGAAACGCGAAGAACCATGTAAGTACCACTGCAGCACTGTAGAAAACGCGTGTCAATGACAATGACAGTATATAACCCAGCTGTGCACGCGCTCAGGAACACCGTCTGCGTCACGACATGGACTGTGTTTGAAATCGAACACTAGCGTTGGAATAGTTCTTATTGGATTTATGCATAGGCTACTGTATAATAGCCTATATTTCTACAGTACTATACATTTTTGTACATTTTAAATATTTTTTTTTGTACAATAGTGCGTTAAATTAAAATAATACTTAATACAATTAAGAAACGACTATTAAGTAGTAGTAGTGCTTTAGTCAGATTTTGAATAAATTAAGTGACCGAAAAAGAACACTTGTCAGTTGAATGTAGGCGGATTTGTACGCAGCTCACATGCTGTGTCAGGTCAGACCTCCACAGGCGATCCCGTGAGAAAATCCCACAATATCTGGCTGGCAGATTCCTCTTTAACATCTCATGAATGTGTAGTTAAGAAGCTTCATTCGATTCAGTGTATTGAAATGCAAAGAAACGAAGTAACAATGTTTCACTGGTGCTAGAGAATGTGTCCTCAGATGCCCCAGTGGTTATCAATGCCAAAACCAGAGTTCTGAATGTAGGCACCTTCTTAAATACCAGCACGTCTTCTGTCAGACTCGGTTATCTGCATTCACAAGCAGAGCCTGGGTTAGAAGATGATGTGGAACATAGCCTACTGCACACATTTATGATACTTATGGTGCTTTTGCTGTTTTCATTTTTGGAGTGTTAAAGCTGGCATGAAACAGAAGTTGCGATAGTCTATACTCTATTCTTCTAGCCTACTATTCTTCCATATTGTCTTCTCAAACAAGAAAAAATGTAGGGTGGGACTTGATTTTGTCCACGAGGAATTGATTGGATGGTTGTGGTTTGCTATTGGTCAATCTCATGTGAGTGACAGTTGCCCCGCCCTCACGCCAGTAAACAGAGAAGAGAAGAGATGTCACTGCAAGAGGTAGGGGAAGTTATTTTAAGTAACGATTAGAGAGAGCACATGCATTAAAAACATAATGATATGCATGAATAAATCATTTATATTATAAATAGTGCAATATTCTGTTAAAAAATTACAGGCTGTGTTCGAAATAGCCCCCCATACTGTTAAATCGGGGATTATTTGAAGGGAAAGCCATTTGTACGAAACGTGGACGTTATCGAGTGCACTCATTCAATCCCACAATCCACCGCAATAACGAGTGTACAACCAATGTTAATGCTAATTTTCAACAAAGTTCAAGATAAATCTTTTCATTACTACTGGAGCTGCCAGTTTGCTGTAAGTTTCAAATGATTATTAAACAGCAAGCACAAACTATGCGAAAGCGGCACTCAGTGTCCGAATTCATACCCTCGTTTTCATTCACTCCTTCAAGTGGACTATATTAGTGGAGTAATGGGAATAGTGAATGAGGGTAAAGGAGGCGATTTTAAACACAGCTATGGTGACTTTAAAGCATCTGTCCTCAATCACTTTCATCGCGTGTTCGGTTCTACACTAATATTGACCTTAAACTGTCACTCAAGCATGGGCATTGTTTGCTGTGGCTTATGATTTGAGACCTGTTTGTTATTGTTTGCGTAAGTGCTGCATACATTTTACACTTCACCTTTAAATTTTCCCACCAATATTTGTGGAGCCCCACCCAAACAGTGAATCCTGTGTACGCCCACGAGCTTAAGACATGTAACACGTGGTGCAGCGATGACCTTCCACTGCCAATAACCTCAAATGAATTAGCTAGACATTCTTAACCTCTTCTGACCTCACGGTTATCCCACTCCACCCAATGCACTTTGTTCTTCGAGTGTTGAGAAGACACACATGACCCGTGTCTTTTATATGGGAACGAGCCAGGAGACCCCATTGCCTGGCTGTTAAGTATGGGAGGGATGAGAGGAATTAATCGTCTTAAGGAACGGGCCTTTCCATTGCTGTGAAAACAAGGTTAAACCCTGCTAATATTTGATGAATGACGGCTATGCAATTCATTTTTCACTCTCTGTAGAATAATAAGCAGGGATATGTTTTGATAGATAATACGAGGTTCAAATAAACAGAGTGAAAGATTCAATCTCAGAAAGTTTGCTGTTGGAAAGTTCAGTGCTCAGGATTTAGTCAGACAAACAGTGAATTATTGGGTTTACTAAGGCAAACATCGCTGTTGTTATTTGTATGCAACTGCATAGCAGAGATGTGCAAATCCATCCATCCTGAATTTCTTTTCATTTCATTTACCTCCTTACATTCAAATTGGAATTGCAATTATTAGTCTATTCAATTCAGTTAACTCATAAACATTCAACAGTGCTGGATTTAATCCACATTTGGCACTATAGTGTGTTCATTTTAGACCCTGAACATAAGTGTCAAAGCCCATGAAGCGCATTTATGTAGAATGTTTATGTAGAATGTTTATTATCTCACATAGAGCGGTACCTACTGTTTGATTCCGATCGCTCACTGGGACATAAGCTGGGGGTCATGAAAACATTACGTGACAGAGTGAAAACTACAGAGCGACTGAGAGTTCAGGGCCGAGGAAGGCGAGCATGTGAAGGAAGCGCTGAAAAGCTGCAGATTCCACAAGTGGGCCTTTATAAAAACATCTGAAATGCCCAGCAGAGACTCCGGACCAGTGAGCAGAGGAACGGAAGAACAGATGTAAAAACATTGTCATTCCTTATAACTATAGCACCAGGAAAACACCAGACAATGTTAAATAAACAAAACCTTTTAGTTCACTTTAAACATACGGACACAAAAAGTCAAAACACCAGAAGATTCATACAACAAAGCAACATCGTTTATGCTGGTGTGATCTGCATCAGTAGAGCCGCCTGAAGAAACTCATGTACCTGCGTTTATAGAGTCACTTGACTGAACAAAAATATATAGATTTTGAAGAACAGATCGTTTGTGAAAATGGTTAACAGGCCCTTTATGTGAAACTCATGATGTTGAGTCTCATGATGTAGAGCTGTGATGTTTAACCCTTGAGTAAGAGTAAGTGTTTTACCAATTTGCACAAGTGTGTGTGTGTATATACATTATATATATTTAGGCTATACAAATATCTCATTCGTCAATCACATTGCAGCAGCTCAATGCATTTAGGGATGTTGACATGGTTAAGACTGAAGTTCAAACTGAGCATTAGAATGTTTCATGGTTGTTGTTGCCAGACGGGCAGTTCTGAGTGTTGCATAAAACCACTGATCTACTGGGATTTTCACACCCAACTATCTATTTAATGTTCCGAAAAATAGGAAATGTCCAGTGAGTGGCAGTTCTGTGGGTGAAAATGGCTTGTTGTTGCCAGAGTTCAGAGGAGAATCAGAGAAAATCATTGTTGGGGATTGCCCCACTGAATGCCGGTTCTTTAAAGTCTTTAAAGGGTTAGTTCACCCAAAAATGAAAATGATGTCATTAATGACTCTCCCTCATGTCGTCCCAAGCCCGTAAGACCTCCGTTCATCTTTAGAACACAGTTTAAGATATTTTAGATTTAGTCCGAAAGCTTTCTGTCCCTCCATTGAAAATGTATGTACGGTATACTGTCCTTGTCCAGAAAGGAGATAAAGACATCATCAAAGTAGTCCATGTGACATCAGTGGGTTAGTTAGAATGTTTTGAAGCATCGAAAATACATTTTGGTCCAAAAATAACCAAAACTACGACTTTATTCAGCATTGTATTGTCTCCCGGTTCTGTTGTGGATCCGCGTTCAGTGCCGCTGCTGACGTAAGACGCTGCTGACGTGTGTCTGGTGTGTGTGTGTGTGTGTGTGTGAGTGTGTGTGTATGTATTCTGGTTCTGTTGTGGATCCGCGTTCAGTGCCGCTGCTGACGTAAGACGCTGCTGACGTGTGTCTGGTGCACCCGAGCTTCGTTTACAGTCTGAGGGAGACGCACGCTGGAAACAAAACAATCTTCGCAAACGTGTCTAAGGATTTCCACACAGAGGAACACTTGCATTTTTTTTTTGCCTAGCCATATTTATTTGAACCCGAATACACGGACGCACCAGACACACGTCAGCAGCGTCTTACGTCAGCGGCGTCACTGCGGACTCGTGAACGTGGATTGACAACAGAACCAGGCAGGGTTTCATCATATAAACATATTAACTATGCATTGGAGGTAGTTTCTGCAATAAACAAATAAACAGAAGTAAATAACTAAATGTTAAACATACATGCCCACATACTGTTGTGATATACAGTACATTACTAATTAAACAATTTTAACAGCTCTCTCAAAGTGTGTTTTACGTCCTCATTATGGTATTAAAGTATAATACATATAGAATATCTTATACAGATGCATAGACATAGTTAAACGAAGTATGGCCAATTATAGCAAGATAAGCCACGATGCTAGCGGCACCTGCACGTGCGTTTCACATGACAAACTAATATACATAAAGATCGCGAAACACCAGGCTTAATGTTAGAGATAATCTCAGCAGTATAAACATCCAGTATTACAAATATAAAGTCGGGAAATTAAAGTTACTTCGTCAATAAATTTTTGCCCTGCACTCAGAGATGCTGCACGGGTGGAAAAAAATGCGTCATATTCTGAATTCTGACCGCTATGCGTAACTTAAGCGTATTGCGTAATCACTTACGCCAAAACAGCATCCAATAATATTGCGTACTACATACTTTCCACATGTATAACGTATTCTACATAATACACCATTAAAGGATATAGCAGTAGATAATACTTAAAGACAAAATTTTAAAAATTCACAACAATCATAACCTAGTTAGGTTTTGACTCCAGACACCGGCTCATATTATTGTACAACACCACCTCCATCGGCAGTGATGCAACTTTAAAGGCATCTTTACTATGTCAATACGGATGAAATGAGAGACATAGAACAACGACTCACGTACACGCACAAGTTCAGGTAAGAAACATGACGGACTTGTTCTGTGCTTTCATGGAATTGTGGTTTAGTTTAT